TAAAATTTAAAAACAATTAAAAAAATTAAAATTAAATCATTTGGCCCCGACGTCATTAAAACAAAAAACAACCCATTAAAATTTTCTATTTGCATTTTTTACGTGCTTTCGAACTGCTAGGTTGGCAGAAGCTGAGATAAGTCACGGGAGCTCACCCCGTTACGCGGCACTCGGGATTCGAACCGCTGAACTGCCAACCCTTTCGATTGACAAGCTCAGCGTCTTGGCCGCTGAGCCACCGCATCCCTCAAAAAAAAAAAAAAAGGACAGAATATTTCCCCTTAAAAGGAAGGCAGAAACTCAGCGCCCCCCCAAATCTTGGTCAATGGGCCATGAAGGCCTGGGCCAATCTATTCTACATAACAAAGATCTACCTCCTTCAGGCAGAGCCATAGCGGGAATTGCCCATAGCCCTTTCATTACATCAACACCCAGCAAGAGTCAACCAAGCCCGGGACACAGACAACCTACAAAGTTACCCCTGCATGGCCCCAGGGGAGTCTAACAACCAATCAGAACACAAGCTCAAATTCAAAGCCCAACAGAGGGCATAAAACCCAAGCATCTCTTGGCATCTCCGCCCTTTTTTACCCAGGAATTCAAACCCATGTGGTCCTGTCCACCATTAAAAACCATCTTTCGCAAGCGGTCTCCGTGTTTCCGGTGTCTTTCTTCCCCACTTGGAACTGAACCCAGATGGACATTTCTTCCAACAGTATGTGAGAAAGATCTTGGGGGACCAGGCCAAGAGAGGATGCCAAGGGAAGGATTAGATAAGAGACAACGGAGCCCTTGGCTGCAGAATGGCTGGAGAAAGAGGCTCTGAGCTGGGTTGTGGTTTTCTTACTGACGTTTCATTACCCAACTAGGTAACCTCATCAGTGCTAGAAGGGAGAGGGGTTTCTGGCGAAGAGGAGGAGGAGGGGAACTCTGGTGTCCTTTGTGCCAATTTTGGTTGTTTTCTTATAGACATTTCATGGCCCAACTAGGTAACTTCATCAGTGCTAGAAGAGAGGGGATTTGCAGAATGGAGGAGAAGGAGAAGGGAGGAGGAGGAGGAGGAGGGGGAGGAGGGGGAGGAGGAAGACTGTTGTACCTTGGTACTCTCTGAGCTCGGTTATTATCTTGTAGCCATTTCATGACCCAACTAGGGTCGTGTTCTCTTATCAGCTCCAATTCACCTTTCCAAAATCTGGTCTTCCCATTTTTTTACCCATGAAACCCTAATCGAGCCTTTGGGGGGGAAAAAAAACCCTGCCTTTTTACAACCCCGTAACCCCTATTTGAGGTACATTCTGGGCGACTGGATGGAGCTGAGCATTTGCTGGCCGGATACCCTTCCTGACGCCTACGCAGAGTTCACAGCAGATATTTTCCAAACAGGTCGGATGTCCTCCTTTCTGCGGGCGTCGCCGCCTCGCCGGAAGTCCCATCCCGACTTGCGTTTCCCGACATCACCGGATATCTTCCTCTTTTTTACCCATGAAACCCTAATCGACCCTTTGGGGGCAGGGGTGGGTTCTAAATTATTTTACTACCGGTTCTGTGGGCGTGGCTTATTTTGTGGGTGTGTCTTGGAGGTAATGTGACTAGGTGGGCGTGGCTAGCTGGTCAAAAACATTTCTGGAAGGTTCTTGCACTTACAACCAGTCCTCGCACTTACGACCCGACTCATTTGTTTGCTTTTAACACTGATCAGCTGTAGGGCGGCCCTTTGAAGCCCCGCAGCAAGAGTGTAAACAGGTTTTTTTCCCTCTAGTCATCAGCTGGGACTCAGGAGGCAGCAATAGATTGGGGGTGGGACCAAATAAAAGGTAAGAATAACGTGGGGGGTGGGTGGGAGGGCGGGGGGGGGAGAACTGGTTTGGTGACGTCATATCGTCACTGCTACCGGCTCAGCCGAATCGGACCGAACCGGGAGGAACCCACCACTGTTTGAGGGGGGGAAAACCCTTCCTTTTTACAACTCTGTGTAACCCCTATTTGGGGTAGATTCAGGGTAACTGGATGGAGCTGAGCATTTCCTGGCTGGATGCCCTTCGTGACTCCTACATAGAGTTCACAGCACAGGTCAGACATCCTCCTTTCTGCGGGCATCACCGCCTCGCCAGAAGACCCCGTCCCGGCCTTCCTTTCCCGACATCTTCGCCTCCTCGGCACCGGATGCCCATTTTTTTAAAAAAAAATGCACTCCATAACAGCGCGCACTCACTCACAGCTGCCGTTCCTTGGCAGCGGGACGCCCGTTGTCTCCGACGAAGCGTGTTTCTTTTTTAATTAAGAAGCATTTGGATGCGGCTGGTGGCGTTGGCAACAGCTCGTTTCGAGAGATCAGCCCAGGCAGCCAATTGCAACGGCGGCTTTTAATGGGCGCTCGTGTTCTATCCTTAATCCCACCATGCATGTAATACATTTCCGATTATCGTCCTGCCAAGGCATCTTAATTACTCCGGGGAGCCAGCGACGGCTGAACCGTAGGCAATAGATTTCACAGGATGCTTAAGCCCTGGCAAGATCATCCGGCGGTGGGGGAAACTATCGTCTTCCTCGAGGCGCATATCCTGAATCTCCAAATACAGGTCGTCCTCGGGTTACGACCGCAAGGGAGCCCAACATTTCTCACTCTGTTGCCGAGCGAGAAATTTGTTACACGACCCGTTTTACGCCTTTTCTCGCCTTAGTCGTTAAGCGAATCACTGCGGTTGTTAAATTAGTAACCTGGTTATTAAGGAAATCTAGTTTCCCCCTTGACTTTGCTGTGCCAGAAGGTCGCAGAAGGGGATCCCGTGACACGGGGACGCTGCAAACCGGCATAAGGTTCCCACAAAGAAGAGGGAGTCAAGCTATTCTCCAAAGCACCTGAAGGCAGGACAAGAAGCAACGGGTGGAAACTAATCAGGGAGAGAAGCAACTTAGAACTAAGGAGAAATTCCCTGACAGTGAAGGCAATTAACCAGTGGAACTGCTCGCCACCAGAAGTTGTGAATGCTCCAACACTGAGAGTTTTTAAGAAGAGATTGGATAAACCATTTGTCTGAAATGGTGTAGGGTTTCCTCCCTAGGCAGGGGGTTGGACTAGAAGACCTCCAAGGTCCCTTCCAACTCTTGTTATTCTAAGGAGGAATTTCAGGACGGTGAGAGAACAATTAACCAATGGAACAGCTTGCCACCAGAAGTTGTGGCTGCTCCATCACTGAAGGTTTTTTTAAAAAGATTGGACAGCTATTTGTCTGACACGGTATCGGATCTCCTGCTTAAGCTGAGGGTTGGACTAGAAGACCTCCAAGATCCCTTCCAACTCAAGCAAGGTTGCATAGATAGACTGGACAGTGTCAGCAATGGTAAAGGGCGTCCTGCTTGAGCAGGGGGTTGGACTAGATGACCTACGAGGTCCCTTCCAACTCTGTTATTCTGTAGGTAGGCTGCTACATGAATGTTACTCCAGCTAATTATTATTTCCAGCTAAAAGATCTGCATTGGTTGCCCCTCTGATGCTAAATCCAATTCAAATTCTTGCTATTTGCGTTGAAAACTCGCAACAATTCAATATTTATTCTATTCTATTCTATTCTATTCTATTCTATTCTATTCTATTCTATTCTATTCTATTCTATTCTATTCTATTCCATTCCATTCCATTCCATTCCATTCCATTCCATTCTTCATTCCTCTATTCTGTTCTGTTCTGTTCTGTTCTGTTCTGTTCTATTCCATTCCATTCTTCATTCCTCTATTCTATTCTATTCTATTCTATTCTATTCTATTCTATTCTATTCTATTCTATTCTATTCTATTCTATTCTATTCTACTCCTACTCCTACTCCTACTCCTACTCCTACTCCTACTCCTACTCCTACTCCTACTCCTACCCTGTTTTCCCCAAAATAAGATATCCCCTGATAATAAGCCCAATCAGGCTTTTGAGCGCATGGCAATAAGGCCAAGCACGTATTTCTGTAGTACAGCCTGTAGTACAGTGGACTAAAGCACTGTTATTAACATCTGCTGCTTGCAATTACTGCAAGTTCGAATGTCACCAGGCTCAAGGTTGACTCAGCCTTCCATCCCTTTCAAAGGTAGGTGAAATGAGGACCTGGATTGTGGGGGCAATAAGCTGACTTTGTATAAATATACAAAAGCATGACGGCTATTGCTTAACGCATTGTAAGCCCGCCCTGAGTCTCCGAAGAAGGGCGGCATATAAATCAAATTAAAAAAAAAAAAAAGCAAAAAAAGCAAAATTTCAGGATTCAAAAAAATATAATAAGACACAGGGTCTTATTTTCGGGGAGACACAATACTCCTATTCCTATTCCTATGTTCTATTCCAGGGGTCTCCACCCTTGGCAACTTTAAGCCTGGCGGAAGTCTGGGAGTTGAAGTCTGTAAGGCTTAAAGTTGCCAAGGTTGGAGACCCCTGTTCTAGTCTGTTCTAATCTTAGTTGCTCTTCTTCGCTAAGATTGGTTGCTAAACTAAGAGTCAGCTTAAAACTTTAGCTCCTGACACACATCTAAAGGGCTTGAGGTAAATAGCAAATAAAGAATAATGTACAAAGAGTTACTTAATCCAATGAATTTACCCAAGGACAGTAGTAACTCTCCCATTAGCAACTCCGAGCGCTTAAGAAAAGTTGTGCGGCTAAGATAATTTTGTAAACTAAGATTAATGCTTTAAGTAAACTTATTATCCAGTGTATGTAACCATAGAAGGAAAATCGGATGTATGATCTCATGATTAACCATATATGGAAAATGTATGATCTCACTGAATCCTTTGTCTTAGAAATGTATAAAAACCATTGTATCAGAGTTCTTTCTTTGTTCAAAGCTTCAGGTACAAATCTGGCTCTGAACCTTGCGCAATAAAACTGTCTCTGGCTAACCCAGGAATGTTGTTTGGTCCTTCCATTCCACTACAGGCTGGGGATGATGCGACCTTTTTGGGCTCCTTGTGTTCACAGGACAGTCTATAACCAAAGTTCTACCTCTTTTATTTGCAGACCAGTGCCGTGTTGTGCGTGGGCGGTTGTGCCCTTTTGGCTTTCAGCGCCCTGCTGGCGGTCATCGTCCTGTTCCTTCCCAGCGGACACTGTGAGAGACGGCTCTGCACCCTGGCTGGGTACATTCAGACAGCGGCCGGTAAGTGGCTCACAATCCTGGTTTGATTGAAGGAATTTGCTAGGTGTCTCCGATCTCCTCTACTGCAACTAATCCTGATTGGTATTTTTTCAAAGGTGTCCGCTTTAAGAGAGACGGACTTCAACTCCCAGAATTCCCCCGGCTAGTTCAGGTCCACCCATCTTAAAGCATGCTGGCTGGGGGATTCTGGGAGTGGAAGTCCAGCCATTTTAAAGCAGGCTGACCTATTCTATTCTATTCTATTCTATTCTATTCTATTCTATTCTATTCTATTCTATTCTATTCTATTCTATTCTCTATCCTATCCTCTATTCTATTCTATTCTATTCTCTATCCTATCCTCTATTCTATTCTATTCTATTTCCTTTCCTATCCTATCCTATCCTATCCTATCCTATCCTATCCTATCCTATCCTATCCTATCCTATTCCATTCCATTCCATTCCATTCTATTCCATTCTATTCTATTTTCTATCCTATCCTATCCTATTTTATTCTATTCTATTCTGTTCTATTTTTATCCTATCCTATCCTATCCTCTATTCTATTTTATTCTGTTCTATTCTATTCTATTTCCTATCCTATCCTCTATTCTATTCTATTCTATTCTATTCTATTCTATTCTATTCTATTCTATTTCCTATCCTATCCTCTATTCTATTCTATTCTATTCTATTCTATTCTATTCTATTCTATTCTATTCTATTTCCTATCCTATCCTCTATTCTATTCTATTCTATTCTATTCTATTCTATTCTATTCTATTCTATTCTATTTCCTATCCTATCCTCTATTCTATTCTATTCTATTTCCTATCCTATCCTATCCTATCCTATCCTATCCTATCCTATCCTATCCTCTATTCTATTCTATTCTATTTCCTATCCTATCCTATCCTATCCTATCCTATCCTATCCTATCCTATCCTCTATTCTATTCTATTTCCTATCCTATCCTATCCTATCCTATCCTATCCTATCCTATCCTATCCTATCCTATCCTCTATTCTATTCTATTCTATTTCCTATCCTATCCTATCCTATCCTATCCTATCCTATCCTATCCTATCCTCTATTCTATTCTATTCTATTTCCTATCCTATCCTATCCTATCCTATCCTATCCTATCCTATCCTATCCTCTATTCTATTCTATTCTATTTCCTATCCTATCCTATCCTATCCTATCCTATCCTATCCTATCCTATCCTATCCTATCCTATCCTATCCTATCCTATCCTCTATTCTATTCTATTCTATTCTATTCTATTCTATTCTATTCTATTCTATTCTATTCTATTCTATTCTATTCTATTCTATTTTCTATCCTATCCTATTAATTTCTCTTCCCTTCCCTTCCATTCCGTGCAATCCTTAACAATGTTGTGATGCCCCCTCTTGCAACCGACCTGCCAGATGTCCCATCCTCGAGGCAATTTCACTGTTGTGTTTCCAGGTAGCAGCTGTCACAACTTGTCACCAGGCTATTGTGCGGCTCCACAATCCCTGGGCTTCGCTTGCGTCAGTGGTTCCTTCCTGCTATGAAATGCTCTGCAGGAATCATCCTTCCTGGTTGATGACTAACAGCTGCCCTCGATACAGGGAGTCCTCCACTTACGACCACAGTCGTTAAGCGAACAGCTGCCAGTTGTTAAGATGGTGACACGGTTGTTTTTATTTCGGGTACAGATTGGTTCACCAAATCAATTAGTCCTTCCATAGCATCCCGTCTTAAAGCAGGCGACAGGTAGTCCTCGAATTCCGACTACCACGAAGCCCCACGTTTCTGTCGCTAAGCAAGGCAAGAGCAATCGTACAGGCAGTCCTCGACTTACGACCACAACGGAGCCCGAAAGCAAGACATTTGTTACGTGGGTTTTGCCCCGTTTTACAATCTTCCTTTCCACTGTCGTTAAGCGGACCACTGGTCGCTTAATCACACGGTTGTTAAGTGAATCTGACTTCCCCGTTGACTTCGCTTGGTCAGAAGGTCGCAAAAGGGGATCACATGACCCCGGGACACGCCAACCGTCGTAAACCGGAGTCAGTTGTCAAGCATCTCGTGACCATGGGGATGCTGCAATGGCCATAAGTCTGAAAAAGGCCCCTAAGTCACTTTTTTCAGTGTTTAACTTGGAACGGTCACTAAGTGTAACCGTTGTAAGTCGAGGACTACCTGTACTTAGACTTATATCCCGCTTTATAGCACTCTTTGAGTGGTTTAAAAATGTCAGCCTCTTACCCCCAACAATCTTGGTCCTCATTTACTGACCTTGGGCGGACGGAAGGCTGAGTCAATCTTGAGCCGGTTAGGATCGAACTTCCTGGCTGTGGGCAGAGTCAGCCTGCATTGCTGCACTCTAACCACTGCGCCACCAAGGCAGTCGTTAAATGAGTTTGGCCCCGTTTTTACTATGGTTTTTCTCACTGTCGTTCAACAAATCACTGCAGTTAACAGTATACAGGTAGTCCTGGACATACGACCTCAATTGAGCCCAACATCCCTGTTGTTAAGTGAGACATTTGTTAAAGGGAGTTTTGCCCCCACGTTACGACATTTCTTGCCACAGCCGTTAAGTGAATCACTGCAGTTTCTAAATGAGTTCAATGGTCGTTAAGTAAATCTGGCTTCCCGCACTGACTTCGTTTGTCAGAAGGTCGCAAAAAGGGGATCGCGTGACCCCTTTTTGCGTCCAACCGTCATAAATATGACTCAGTTGCCAAGTGTCCGAATTCTGATTGGGTGATCATGGGGAGGCTGCAAAAAACGGACATAAGTCACTTTTTTCAGTGCCGTGGTAACTTCGAACGGTGACTAAACATGAACGGTTGTAAGTTGAGGACTACCTGCAATTGAGTTGGAAGGGACTTTGGAGGTCTTCTAGTCCAACCCCCTGCTCAAGCAGAAGACCCTATACCAGCAAGGGCACACAAAACCATCTGTCTGGGCATGCCAGCCGTCACCCCAGCCCAGCTCTACTGTGAGCGCCTCCCGCCAGCCAGCTGATCTTTGGGTCTCTGCTGTGCATGTGCGTGGGTGGGGCCCATGGGGGGATATGTGTGCGCATGAGCGGGGTGGCGAGGTGGATGTGTGCAGGGGGGGGGTGCAGGTTTGTGCAGGAGGCTTTCCAGGCCCAAAACTGGGTGCGGGGGGGCCTCGCATGGTGCCCTTGCCCCAGTGGTGGGTTCCTCCCGGTTTGGTCAGGTTCGGCCGAGCCGGTAGCGGTGACGATATGACGTCACCGAACCGGTTCTCCCCCCCACGTTATTCTTACCTTTTATTTGGCCCCACCCCCAATCTTTTGCTGCCTCCTGAGTCCCAGCTGATGACTAGAGGGGAAAAAACTGTTGAAACTCTTGCCGCGGGGCTTCAAAGGGCCGCCCGACAGCTGATCAGTGTTAAAAGCAAACAAATGAGTCGGGTTGTAAGTGCGAGGACTGGTCGTAAGTGCAAGGACTTTCCAGAAATGACTCTGACCAGCTAGCCACGCCCACCTAGTCACATGACCTCCAAGCCACACCCACAAAATAAGCCACACCCACAGAACCGGTAGTAAAAAAAATTTAGAACCCACCCCTGCCCTGCACCCTGTTTTCGCTTCCAGGTTGGTGCAGGAAGCTTTCCAGGCCCAAAATGGGGCGCAGGGGTCGTCCGTATTGCATTTTGGGGGTTCTGGAAGGCACACTTTGCACACTCGGCACCAAAAAGGTTAACCCTCACTGCCCTATACCATTTCAGACCAATGGCTGTCCAATCTGTTCTTAACAGGGGTGCTATTCAGCAGGTTCTGACAGGTTCTGGAGAACCGGTAGCGGAAATTTTGAGCAGTTCGGCGAACCGGTAGCGGAAATTTTGAGCAATTCGGCGAACCGGTAGCGGAAATTTTGAGTAGTTCGGTGAACCGGTAGTGGAAAATTTGACTAGTTAGGAGAACCGGTGGCGGAAATTTTGAGTAGTTCAGAGAACCGGTAGTGGAAATTTTGACTACTTTGGCGAACTGGTAGCGGAAATTTTGAGTAGTTCAGAGAACTGGTAGCAGAAATGTTGAGTAGTTCCCAGAACCGGTAGCGGAAATTTTGAGTAGTTCGGCGAACCGGTAACAGAAATTTTAAGTGGTTCACAGAACCAATAGCAGAAATTTTGAGTAGTTCGGTGAACCGGTAGCGGAAATTTTGAGCAGTTCGGAGAACTGGTAGCGGAAATTTTGAGTAGTTCTGAGGACCAGTAGCGGAAATTTTGAGTAGTTTGGAGAACCCGTAGCAGAAATTTTGAGTAGTTCGGAGAACCGGTAGCAGAAATGTTGAGTAGTTCCCAGAACCGGTAGCGGCAATTTTGAGTAGTATGGAGAACCAGTAGCAGAAGTTTTGAGTAGTTCGGTGAGCCAGTAGCAGAAATTTTGAGTACTTCGGCGAACTGGTAGCGGAAATTTTGAGCACTTCGGAGAACCTGTAGCGGAAATTTCAAATAGTTCGGAGAACCGGCAAATAACCACCTCTGGCTGGCCCCAGAGTGGGGTGGGAATGGATTTTGCAGTATCCTCCCCCCCAGGAGTGGGGAGGGAATGGAGATTTTGCAATATCCTTCCCCAGGAGTGGGGAGGGAATGGGGATTTTGCAGTATCCTTCCCCAGGAGTGGGGAGGGAATGGGGATTTTGCAATATTCTTCCCCCAGGAGTGGGGCGGGAATGGGGATTTTGCAGTATCCATCCCCAGGAGTGGGGAGGGAATGGGGATTTTGCAATATTCTTCCCCCAGGAATGGGATGGGAATGGGGGTTTTGCAGTATCCTTCCCCTGCCATGCCCGCCAGGCCACACCACTCCCACCAAGCCACAGCCACAGAACCGGTAGTAAAAAAAATTTGAATTCCACCACTGCTTCTTAAAAACCTCCAGTGATGAAGCATGCACAACTTCTGGAGGCAGTTGTTAAGTGAACTGTGCCGTCGTTAAGCGAATCCCCATTGACTTTGCTTGATGGATGCTGGCTGGGAAGGTCAACA